TGGCACGAGTTTAAACATTTTACATGTCGTAGGTACCCTACTTTGAGCCGCCACAGCGCCGTCCCTGGGGCATCTGCAGGGTTCATCTTCAAAACTTAAACTCGAATACTCCTTGGCTACGCTCACGCCAAATTTTATCCCGATCGGATCAGCCGTTTAGAAATGCCAGATTTATTTCCAAAAATTTTCCATTCTGCCCCACTGTGTAATGAGATTTTGTCCAACAACTCCGAAAGAGAACATTAATATAAATTTGCGTATATGAAATGAAATTGACTTTGAATATTGAAGATTCAAGACAAAATTTTATTCAAAATTCAAACAGTTGGAAGCTGCTTTGGAAATTTTATTAAACTACAATTTGGGGAATAAAACATCAAAATTCAAATACTAAGTCCAGATAAGTAGTGTGGTTATCTGAAATAAAATCCTTATCAAAATTGAATAAGCCATTTCTTAAAGTCTTCAAAACTTCAACAAATTTTCTTAACGTCCGTATCTAAATATATTAATCTAACTAACTGAATTTATCCTAATTCTCATCTTAATTTAATAATATTTTAAACTTAACTTAATATTATAAATTGAAATTTGGTCAACTATAATTTTACTTAATTCATCTAAAACTTACTTTAACTTAAAGCTAATTTGTTTATAGTTAATTTAATATAAACTTGCCTTAAAATCTAATGATATTTTCATAATTTATCTAAAATTTAACTTTTTTTAAATAATTTTTTTATTACCTTTAATTACCTTAATATTTACCTTCATTGATTATTAATATTTACTTAAAACTAACTTAATATAATGTAAATTCTGAAATAACAAATGTTATTATAAATACACTACACCATCTACACGATTTTTTTTTTTTTAAATTACGAATTTTGAGAATTAGATTTAGACAAAATAATTATCAAGCCATGTTCAACTGTACATCAGGCCTGCTGTCAACGTTGGATAATATTATGGTGAGTTTTTTTAAATAATATTAATAACAATATAATTCTCAATATTTAAATAAAAATTAATACTACGTTGATACACTACATAACAAACAATTAATTACACTTCATTATTAAATTTACATTACAATTTGAAAATGTTAACTTTAAAATTGGTTTTAATAAACATTGATTCATTTTGTATTTAAATTATGTTAAATTAAACATTTTTATTTTCATAACCATGAAAAGTTAGTGAGCAAAAGTTAAGGTTATAGATAGGGCTATCAGAGCGGCGACAATATGATAGCATGGTAGGGAGGGTAGAGAATGGGGAAGTAATACCATCTTCTTCCTCATTTCTAATTTCAAACCGGTTTTAGTTTAGTTTTTATTTTATTTTTTTGGTTAACATTGATATATCTAGCTACCTTTTTAAATTTATTTTTTTGATGGATCTTAACCTTTCTCAAGGGAAACAAGGACACCACCCCATTGCCCTGAGCACGGTCGGATTGAAAGGTAGCGTAAGTTTCCTGAGAGATAGGACCATGGTTAGTCTGGTCCGTTACAAGCAGAGATCGTCTCGGTGCCTACTTCTGGCAACTTTGGCGTAAGATGGCGGCTCTTTTCCTTTTCCTCCGTCTAGCTTCTCCTTCCTCGTTTTTCGGGGCTTCTTTTGAGATTCCCTTACCTTCGAGGTTGATTTCGCCGACGTGTTCGTCTTCGGAATATCACTTAAGATTCCTTTGAGTGAAGTATGGCTTGGCTTCGACTGTGTATTAGAAGACGGGGAGCTCTTTTTCTTCTTAGGTTTATTCTCAGTTGTCAACTCCTCGGGAGACCTGATCCTTTTTGCCTCACATCTTGTGAGAGAGTCCGATTTTTCCTTTGGAGTGTCGTGGGATTGACTAACTATGATTTCCTGAAGCATCTTTTTCAACTTTCTCCTCTGTGCTCCAGAGAGTCTTTTCTTAGTAACAGGTAGTTTAGCTATGCTACCACTCACCTCTTTCACCATTTGCTCTACTTCATCCTTTTTGGGATTTGCTATAATGGTATTATTATCATCATCTGAGGATTCAGAGTCGGAACCCTCACCTATATTTAAAGGCTGAGGTAGCTTAGAGCTCTCTCCGAGTACATCCTTCTCTTTCACCCCTATATTTTTGCCACTGGCATGCTGTACACTTGACGCATTGTCCGCCACGGAGGCCAAGGTACCCACCTCCGTTGTAGTATTTTGCTCACGATTGCAGGATGACGACGACACGTGACTCGCGAGTAGATCAACACTTGCCGCCGGTACTGGGTTATTTAGGCCCTGCACCGTAACTTTTATCTTTTTATTTTTATTTTCCATATTTGTTTTTTCCAGTTTTTGGTCCGCGGGGAATATAATATTCCCAGGTGGTGGACAATCTGCCCTTCCTCGGCTTAAGTGAAATTAAAGCTGGGAGAGGACAGATGGTCCATCACCACCCCCTATCCGCCACCCGGGGACGCGCTCGGTAGGAAAAAACTGGAAAACTACATAAATAATTCAAAATATTAACGAAGTTTTTCTCCGTTTAACGGAAATTTTTAAATATAAATTTGTAAACAATAACAAACTTTGACAGCTGCATAAACCAGGCGAATTAAGAAAAAAATTATCAGCTGATTGAATAACACAATTCGCCTTGAACAGAGTACTGCGAAATTATTTCGCAAATATTTCATACCAAATATTTTATATGTAGTTTGACAGCATTTCGCACGAAATTTTGAACAGAGTACCTATCTTAAGACGAGAAAACTGCCCTACAATACAGATAAACAACGTCAACATTCCAGAACAGTGCCATGTGAGATACCTTGGTATCCATCTTGATCGCCGTTTACCATGGAGCCACCATATTGAAAAATTAAATTAAAATTAAAGTCAGCTCAATTGCACTGGCTAATTGTCCCACGGTCTGATCTAAACTTATAGTACAAAGTACTTTTGTAAAAGACTGTCATTAAACCGATATGGCTATACGGCATTCAGCTATAACAGGTGCCCAGTGGTACATTCGCAATAATAACATTCCCCATAATACGTGAGGAGATCAAACTCTCCAGTTTAACCTACCTGTCGAACCTAATAGATCACCCATATTCTCTTGCCAGGGAGTTGTTGTTATTTGAGGGTCATAGGCGACTGAGGAGAATGGAAACTCTGGATCTTGCCAGATAATCAAATCGAGAACTTGTGTTGAAACTGCAGTGGCTGTAACAACGTTAGTAATACTTAAGGTTAAGATTTTAATAATTATTGTAAATTTCTACTTAAGAAGGATTCAATAAAAAATAAATAAAATTAAAAAAAAAAAAAAATAAAATTACACATTTGAAATAAAAAATTATGGCTGAAAATTAATTTATTATTACTTTAATGTCACTAAATTACAAATTATAAGCTGTTCTTTTTTTACTTCGAAATTTAATGTCACTTTTTCCATGAAAACATTCAATATGAATGGATAGCAGATAGTTACATTTGCTTTTCCTAGACACAATACAGTGTTGCATAGGCTAATCTTGTTCGAAAACATACATTTTCGACATGTTTTAAATCAAATCTAGAAAATTAAGTAGATTTGGATCTATCAAAAATCTACGAGGTTTCAACTAGATTTGCCCAAATCCACTAGATTTGCTCAAAACGCCTCAGTTGAACATTGGTATTATACCCCATTTACACATACACGAAATCTAGTACTTTGAGATTTCGAGCCAAATCTAGTTGATTTTAACTAGATTTCCCATACAAAATCTACTTCGTAACTAGATTTTTTTAAAATCTACTCAAAATCTAATAGTTTTTAGTGATGAAACTCTTTTTAGTGATGCAAAAAAAAAAAAAAAACAAAACCAAAAAATTAAAATGTCAACAAAATTATAATAAATTGAAAAATATGAATGAAAAGTTTATGTAAAATAGAAGGTAATGTTATTTTTAAATATCTAATTTTTTATTATAAATAAAATGTTAATAAATATCCCATTTTTCCTTCTTATTTTCCATATCAGACACAATTTCAAGAAATATTAGAAAAAATGAAATCTCCCTAAATGCCAAAAATAGTAAGTGCAAACGGTCTAGATTTTTAAAAAGATTTTAAATGAAATCTACTAGATTTCGTGTATGCGTAAATGGGGTATTAGATTCACACTCAAAATTAAAAAAATTGTTAAAATTCCAAATTGTCTATAATATCCTTAATATAAAATAATCTTGACCAGAATTAGAACTGGTTGAGAAAACTTAATTAAAATATGTTAACAATTATTACCAATGTTGCCAGGTTAGCCTTTTTAATGCTAAATTTAGCATTTTTTTCCTTTTAGCCTCAAAATTTAGGTTTTAGCTTCTAGCATTTTTTAGCTTTTTTTTAATTTTCAAAACAGCCTTTTTAAGGCTATTTTTAATTTTTAGATACATTTTTTATAATTATTACAAAAATACATAAAAATTTTATACTGTATGTATAAAAATACAAATCTGACATCGTTCAACTGTTAAAATGGCAAATTATTTCAAGAACAAAAGCAAAATGAAAAAAAACTCTTTATTTATCAAAATGTTACTAATCTGTCAAGATTTACATATACGTTTATAAATTCTGCTTGTTGTTTTAGTTTTCTCATGCATCAACCCAAACATATGACAGTTTAATGATACTTTGTAACATAGAAAAAAATGCAGAGTTGTTTAAATTATACATTCTAAGGCGAATTTGTAATGTGAGTTGATAGCTCAGCTGTTTATTGAATTCGCCGTTGACCTGCCAAATTTACTTTTGCATGTTGTTACAAACAAAAACAATAAAACATTTGAAAAGTCTTTAACAAAAACAATATGCATTAACTTTAATTTGTTTTGATAAATTCGCCTTAAAATACATTTTGTTTGTGCACTGTAGTTAAACAACTCCGGAATAGTACAATAAATTTTACTTTTAATAAAACATTTTAAGAAATAGAGACACAATAAGTTTTTGATATGTTTTATCTAAAATTAATGAGATGGAAAGGTAAGAAATAAAATAATTATTTAATAAAAATGTTACCAATATTAATTGTGTTCTTATTTAGGTTTTTAAAAAGAATAGACAAACCAACATTGGATCAAAACTCCAATGAGACACCGAGTACCCGTAAAAAAGCAAGGTAATTTTCTAATGAATTTTCTTTTTTGTATTCGCAAATTCATAACATGTATAATTGTAGGCATTCTGACCAGAATAATCTGGATGAAATTGTTAGCGATGTATGCTCCAGCGAGGTTGACGACGAATCCGATTCAGATGAAGATGTGTCGGCAAAAAAGTGTAAATAATTTTACTAAATACATGCAGTTCTATAATTATATTTTATTGATAACGTTTTTTAAAACTTCGATTGAAAGTTTTAAAGTCTTCTGTGTTGCCGGCCATAAAAGTTTTCTAAATTAACATTTAGATAGATTAATGATTCTATTACTATTTGTTAAATGTTGATGACAATGCCGATAATTTTTTTAAGGACACAGGCTAAACGCTATAGTAGTGTAGGGTATAATTATTAACTTATTTTAGGTATTGAAAATTGTTAAGGTGTTTTAGAGTTAACGGTAGCCAAACAAAAGAACCGATATATTTAAGTAATTTGTATATATATTTATTAATATACTAGCTTATTACCCGCTACTTTGTTAGCGAGGGTTTTTATAGAATGAGAAATATGTTGGCTCTTCATTTAGCAAGGAAAAAATAATATGTTTTACAAAGATTACAAATTTTTAAATATTGGTAATTCCCTAATTTGAAGAAATGATGATTGTATATGAGTACTCAATTTTAAGTACTTAAAAGTCCACTTTTATAGATTCTCATTTACTCCGGGCTCTATATGCTTAATTTCATGTTTTTAGGTTGAATTTTATAGAAAACTCAAAAAGTACCAATCGAAGGACGAAAAAGTGCCAAAAAGTTCACTTTTATAGATTTTCATTAACTAAGGCCTCTACATGCTTAATTTCATGTTTCTAGGTTTAATTTTATTGAAAACTCAAAAAGTACCAGTCGAAGTACGATAAAGTACCAAAAAGTCCCCTTTTATACATTCTAATTTACTCCAGGCTCTACATGCTTAATTTTATGTTTCTAGGTTAAATTTTATAAAAAACTGAAAAAAGTACCAGTCGAAGAATGAAAAAGTACAAAAAAGTCTCCTTTTATAGATTCTTATTTACTCCGGGCTCTACATGCTTAATTTCATGTTTCTATGTTAAATTTTATAGAAAAATCAAAAAGTACCAATCGAAGAACAAAAAAGTACCAAAAAGGTCCTCTTTTATAGTTTCCAATTTACTCCGGGCTCTATATGCTTAATTTCATGTTTTTAGGTTCAATTTTATAGAAAAATCAAAAAGTACCAGTCGAAGAACGAAAAAGTACCAAAAAGTCCCCTTTTATATATTCTCATTAACTAAGGGCTCTGCATGCTTAATTTCATGTTTCTAGGTTTAATTTGATAGAAAACTCAAAAAGTACCAGTCGAAGGACGAAAAAGTACCAAAAAGTCCCCTATTATAGATTCTCATTTACTCTGGGCTCTACATGCTTAATTTTATCTTTCTAGGTTAAATTTTATAGAAAACTCAAAAAGTACCAGTCGAAGGACGAAAAAGTACCAAAAAGTCCCCTTTTATAGATTCTCATTAACTAAGGATTCCGCATGCTTCATTTCATGTTTCTAGGTTAAATTTTATAGAAAACTCAAAAAGTACCAGTCGAAGGACGAAAAAGTACCAAAAAGTCCCCTTTTATAGATTCTCATTTACTCCGGGCTCTACATGCTTAATTTCAGGTTTCTAGGTTAAATTTTATAGAAAACTCAAAAAGTACCAGTCGAAAGACGAAAAAGTACCAAAAAGTCCCCTTTTATAGATTCTCATTTACTAAGGGCTCTACATGCTTAATTTCATGTTTCTAGGTTAAATTTTATAGAAAACTCAAAAAGTACCAGACGAAGGACGAAAAAGTACCAAAAAGTCCCCTTTTATAGATTCTCATTTACTAAGGGCACTACATGCTTAATTTCATGTTTCTAGGTTAAATTTTATAGAAAACTCAAAAAGTACCAGTCGAAGGACGAAAAAGTACCAAAAAGTCCCCTTTTATAAATTCTCATTTACTCTGGGCTCTACATGCTTAAATTCATGTTTCTATGTTAAATTTTATAGAAAACTCAAAAAGTACCAGTCGAAAAACGAAAAAGTTCCAAAAAGTCCCCTTTTATAGATTCTCATTTACTCCGGGCTATACATGCTTAATTTCATGTTTCTAGGTTAAATTTTATAGAAAACACAAAAAGTATCAGTCGAAAGACGAAAAAGTACCAAAAAGTCCCCAGTTATAGATTCTCATTTACTAAGGGCTCTACATGATTAATTTCATGTTTCTAGGTTAAATTTTATAGAAAACTCAAAAAGTACCAGTCGAAGGACGAAAAAGTACCTAAAAGTCCCCTTTTATAGATTCTCATTTACTAAGGGCTCTACATGCTTAATTTCATGTTTCTAGGTTAAATTTTATAGAAAACTCAAAAAGTACCAGTTGAAAGACGAAAAAGTACCAAATAGTCCCCTTTTATAGATTCTCATTTACTAAGGGCTCTACATGCTTAATTTTATGTTTCTAGGTTAAATTTTATAGAAAACTCAAAAAGTACCAGTCGAAGGACGAAAAAGTACCAAAAAGTCCCCTTTTATAGATTCTCATTAACTAAGGCCTCCGCATGCTTAATTTCATGTTTCTAGGTTAAATTTTATAGAAAACTCAAAAAGTACCAGTCGAAGGACGAAAAAGTACCAAAAAGTCCCCTATTATAGATTCTCATTTACTCTGGGCTCTACATGCTTAATTTCATGTTTCTAGGTTAAATTTTATAGAAAACTCAAAAAGTACCAGTCGAAGGACGAAAAAGTACCAAAAAGTCCCCTATTATAGATTCTCATTTACTCTGGGCTCTACATGCTTAAATTCATGTTTCTAGGTTAAATTTTATAGAAAACTCAAAAAGTACCAGTCGAAGGACGAAAAAGTACCAAAAAGTCCCCTTTTATAGATTCTCATTTACTCCGGGCTCTACATGCTTAATTTCATGTTTTTAGGTTAAATTTTATAGAAAACTCAAAAAGTACCAGTCGAAGGACGAAAAAGTACCAAAAAGTCCCCTTTTATAGATTTTCATTTACTCCGGTCTCTAGATGCTTAATTTCATGTTTCTAGGTTCAATATTATAGAAAATTCAAAAAGTACCTTTTGAAGAACGAAAAAGTACCAAAAAGTCCCATTTTATAGATTCTCATTTACTCCGAGCTCTACATGCTTAATTTCATGTTTCTAGGTTTAATTTTAAAGAAAACTCAAAAAAGTACCTGTGTAGAACGAAAAAGTAGCGAAAAGTCCCTTTATTATTAATTTCATGTTTCTATTTCAATATCATAGAAAACTCAAAAAGGACCAGTTGGAGAATGAAAAGTACCAAAAAATATCACTTGGTACCGGGGTTCCAAATAACACCCCATTAGGATATTTAGTGTTTCTAAATTTAAAAATTTTATTTAAATTGGATCATTCTGGTTGAATAAAATCAAATTTCCCGTTTTTACCCCTTTTGGTACTTTTTTCCTCCCCATTAAAATTCTATTCCAAAAAGTTGCAACATCGTAGTGGGAGCCCGTTATTATGTATTCATATGTATAAGTTAATAAACCAAAAACAATGTTTTATGAAAAAAGTACCAAAAATAGGTACAATTTTAACCCCTTAAACGTCCGAATATCCAAAAAGTACTAAATTCATATTTTTGTTTTTTCGTTAAGTTATAAAGGAGTCAAAAATATTTTTTGAATGTGCACTGGTTTAAAAGATACATGGGGTGCGAAAAAAGTACCAAAATACAGTTTTTACCCGTTTATTCCCTAAAGGGGCCGAATTTTAAAAAAGTACCAGACACCTGTCCGTTTATTTTTTAAATGAACAGCGATAAGCTTTAAACTGTTTTTGTATCTTTTCTAGTTTAGGAGATATAAGGTTACCGAATTTACCCGTTTTTACCCTTTTTTACCCCCTAAACATTCGAATTTCCAAAAATCCCGTCTTAGTGGATCTATTTGGCGGGAGACCAATCTCCTGTCCAAATTTCAGCTCTTTAGCTTCAACCGTTTAGGCTGTGCGATGATGAATCAGTCAGTGAATCAGTCAGTCAGTCAGTCAGTCAGTCAGTCAGTAACGTTAGAATTTTATATACATAGAAGACTATATAGGGACTTATTCCTAGTCTTAGAACAATTTTTGTATGAAATTTTAATTAGTATAAATAAGGTTCATAGATTATTGATGAGACAACAAATTAAATTCTTTTAATTTCAGTCCATATAGGCAAAAAATTCGTATAAATTGGTTGCGTGATAAAAGATTTAACAAATGGCTCATACTCAAAGATGACAACTTGTGGTGCAAATACTGTCTTTGCAAATTCAAGCCAAAACTCTCCGGCTTGGTGGCTCATCTTACAACAAAAAAGCATATTAATGCAATTGCTCCTTTTAATGTTGGACAGCAAACAAAAGTTAATTTCAACCCAATTTCTTCACATAAAGACACAAAACGTGCGTGTTTGCAAAACGCAATTTATGCTGCCTGTCATACTTCAATAAACTCGGTAGATCATTTGACATTATTACAAAAAAAGACATTCTGCGATAGTGCTATTGCCAAGGACTTGCAAATGGGTCGCACAAAATGTACTAAAATTATTGAAAACGTTTTGTGTCCATATTTCAAAAAGGAACTAATAGCTGATATCGGAGATATCGTTTTTAGTCTTTTAATAGATGAATCTACGGATGTATCGGTGAAGAAGCAGCTTGGTATTGTTGTGCGTTATTATAGTGAAAGTTCTCGTTGTATAGTAAACACATTTTTAAAATTAGTAGAACTTGAAGACTCTACAGCTTCTGCAATTACTAAAGCAATTTTGTTGACACTAAATGAATTTAACGTGAATTTAAACAAATTTAAAGGTCTTGGTACCGATAATGCTAATGCTATGGTGGGTGCAAATAAAGGTGTCATAGCACAACTGAAAAACTCAAATATTATATTAGTGCCTTGTGTGTGCCATTCAGTACAATTGGCAGTATCCAGTGCTTCCAAATGTATGCCAAATGAAATTGAATATTTAATATCTGAAAGTTATAACTGGTTTGCGAAGTCCCCGTCCAGGCAAAATTCAATTCTAAGTGTAATAATCAGTGTTGCCAGGAGCTGGAAGAAAAAAAGCTAAATGCCCTTAAAAAAATGCTAAAAAAGGCCAAAGTTTTTTTAATTCAAATACTGAGGTTGTGTTTATTTTTAAGTAAATATTGTTATTAATTACATAAAGACTATATAATAGTTATATTATAGTTTTTAAACTAATTAAAATTAAAAGGTACTTCATGTATAAAACAAGTTATAATGGGCTACTTACAGATAAATAAGTATTTTATATGAAATACAATAAATCCAATGCACGTTTAAATATTTTTGTCTTTTAAGCAATTATAAAATAGGTATAATAATTTCCTCATCATCTGATGAATCGGAACTAGGATTTGTATAATTATCACGACTTTCTAGGAACTTTATTAGATCATCGGAAATTTCGAAATCGTGGCAACATTTCTGAAGTCTTTTTAAAGAACATCGAATATTTAATAATGCATTTAGCATTTTTAGTTTAATTCGATTTCTTTGTTTTGTTTTCACAATTTTCATGGTACTAAACAGCCTTTCAACCTCCGCATTACTAAAAGGTAGTACTAAAAAGCTAAATACGAATTGTAGCAATTCAGTAAATGGATTTTCCTGCAGGGCATTTTTAAACTCTCGCACCTCGACCCAAAAATCGACTGTTGATTCTGTGTAAGTCCATTTGTAGTTTAAAAGGTTTCGCCATTGGGCTTCAATCATGGTTATTTCATCAGCGGTATAGTTATATTTTTCATTTTTAATATGAGAGAATGTATTTGGTTTCACTATTTTAAGTGAATTGTCAACAGATAAAAAATCAATTTTTCGAAGAGTATCCATATTTGCTGGCAATCTTTGTCTCAATTGTTCAATAAGTTTTATTAAAAAACTTCGACATTTTTGGCGTATTAATTGTTCAGAATTTTCGTTTATAATTCCGTTTTTTATTTTATCTCTCATATATAGTTCAAACTTGTACGAAAATTGTGGAGAAGATTTTAAAAATTGCTCAAGTGGGGATGATAATGAGTCAAAATTTTCGTCCGGTATAACAATTTGTGAGCACAAACTTTGCAATAAACATTTTAAATCTGAGAAGAGTTTTGTTGGATCCGCCGAGTTACTTTCGAATGACTTATTTACTTTTTGCACTTCTGCCAGCACTGGTTTCAAAAAAAGGAGATACGCTAAATTATAATCTGTATACAATTCGCTTAAATGTTTAGCTTTGTGGCACTGGTGCTTTGACGAAACTTCGTTGAAATGGGCTTTTAACTCAAACCATTGGTCAACAATACGTTTAACGGCAACTTCAATAGAAAGCCACCTAGTATCACAAGCCCTCACAAGTGGTTCTTGGCCGTTATTTAATGATAAATATAGGGATTGGTATGAATTTTGCCTGGACGGGGATTTCGCAAACCAGTTATAACTTTCAGATATTAAATATTCAATTTCATTTGGCATACATTTGGAAGCACTGGATACTGCCAATTGTACTGAATGGCACACACAAGGCACTAATATAATATTTGAGTTTTTCTTTTTCAGTTGTGCTATGACACCTTTATTTGCACCCACCATAGCATTAGCATTATCGGTACCAAGACCTTTAAATTTTTTTAAATTCACGTTAAATTCATTTAGTGTCAACAAAATTGCTTTAGTAATTGCAGAAGCTGTAGAGTCTTCAAGTTCTACTAATTTTAAAAATGTGTTTACTATACAACGAGAACTTTCACTATAATAACACACAACAATACCAAGCTGCTTCTTCATCGATACATCCGTAGATTCATCTATTAAAAGACTAAAAACGCTATCTCCGATATCAGCTATTAGTTCCTTTTTGAAATATGGACACAAAACGTTTTCAATAATTTTAGTACATTTTGTGCGACCCATTTGCAAGTCCTTGGCAATAGTACTATCGCAGAATGTCTTTTTTTGTAATAATGTCAAATGGTCTACCAAGTTTATTGAAGTATGACAGGCAGCATAAATTGCGTTTTGCAAACACGCACGTTTTGTGTCTTTATGTGAAGAAATTGGGTTGAAATTAACTTTTGTTTGCTGTCCAACATTAAAAGGAGCAATTGCATTAATATGCTTTTTTGTTGTAAGATGAGCCACTAAGCCGGAGAGTTTTGGCTTGAATTTGCAAAGACAGTATTTGCACCACAAGTTGTCATCTTTGAGTATGAGCCATTTGTTAAATCTTTTATCACGCAACCAATTTATACGAATTTTTTGCCTATATGGACTGAAATTAAAAGAATTTAATTTGTTGTCTCATCAATAATCTATGAACCTTATTTATACTAATTAAAATTTCATACAAAAATTGTTCTAAGACTAGGAATAAGTCCCTATATAGTATATTAATAAATATATATACACATTACTTAAATATATCGGTTCTTTTGTTTGGCTACCGTTAATTCTAAAACACCTTAACAATTTTCAATACCTAAAATAAGTTAATAATTATACCCTACACTACTATAGCGTTTAGCCTGTGTCCTTAAAAAAATTATCGGCATTGTCATCAACATTTAACAAATAGTAATAGAATCATTAATCTATCTAAATGTTAATTTAGAAAACTTTTACTTTTTTTAAAAAACGTTATCAATAAAATATAATTATAGAACTGCATGTATTTAGTAAAATTATTTACACTTTTTTTGCCGACACATCTTCATCTGAATCGGATTCGTCGTCAACCTCGCTGGAGCATACATCGCTAACAATTTCATCCAGATTATTCTGGTCAGAATGCCTACAATTATACATGTTATGAATTTGCGAATACAAAAAAGAAAATTAGAAAATTACCTTGCTTTTTTACGGGTACTCGGTGTCTCATTGGAGTTTTGATCCAATGTTGGTTTGTCTATTCTTTTTAAAAACCTAAATAAGAACACAATTAATATTGGTAACATTTTTATTAAATAATTATTTTATTTCTTACCTTTCCATCTCATTAATTTTAGATAAAACATATCAAAAACTTATTGTGCCTCTATTTCTTAAAATGTTTTATTAAAAGTAAAATTTATTGTACTATTCCAGAGTTGTTTAACTACAGTGCACAAACAAAATGTATTTTAAGGCGAATTTATCAAAACAAATTAAAGTTAATGCATATTGTTTTTGTTAACGACTTTTCAAATGTTTTATTGTTTTTGTTTGTAACAACATGCAAAAGTAAATTTGGCAGATCAACGGCGAATTCAATAAACAGCTGAGCTATCAACTCACATTACAAATTCGCCTTAGAATGTATAATTTAAACAACTCTGCATTTTTTTCTTTGTTACAAAGTATCATTAAACTGTCATATGTTTGGGTTGATGCATGAGAAAACTAAAACAACAAGCAGAATCTATAAACGTATATGTAAATCTTGACAGATTAGTAACATTTTGATAAATAAAGAGTTTTTTTCATTTTGCTTTTGTTCTTGAAATAATTTGCTATTTTAAGAGTTGAACGATGCCAGATTTGTATTTTTATACACACAGCATAAAATTTTTATGTATTTTTGTAATATGTAATTATAAAAAATGTATCTAAAAATTAAAAATAGCCTTAAAAAGGCTGTTTTGAAAATTAAAAAAAGCTAAAAAATGCTAGAACCAAAAACCTAAATTTTGAGGCTAAAAGAAAAAAAAGGCCTTAAAAAGGCTAACCTGGCAACACTGTATCTTATGTCCCTAAAAAGATTTTTAGCGTATTATGGTAAATTGGCGATATAATGGTCATGCCTCTTTTTCCATTTAAACAATTTGAAAAAAATTTTATTTCATAAACTCGATATGCCACATATATTTTTTACACTTTTTAAAAAAGTCTTTTATAATGATGGAGCTAAAAGCGGAATTGATATTTTTTTATGTTACTATGATAGAACAAGTTAAGACAAGTATCATTATACGAAGAGAAAAATTTTTTGCTTGAAATCTCGGGAGATATAATTTTTTGAAATTAAAGTGGCTTACCATGTTACTGCATAAAAATTATTTCATATATAATTATGTTGCTTACCAAGTTCTTGCTGATTGGAAAATTTTCGATTGCAAAACATCAATAAATTTTGCTTATAAATTTACTTTCATTTCGTGGAAAAATCTTATATAATGTTCAAACTATGTGCATAATATAAAGTCATATTTATCATACTAAATTAGCAAAGACATTGCAGCACATCCTATAATCTTTGTAAAACATATCACAATCTGCAGCATATACAAAAAGCATAATATTATAATGCCTGTTATATAAAGTGCATATCGAAACCTCTTTTGAACAATGGACTTGAAATTTCTAAAATCCGTGCAAGACTTCTGACACAACATGCATCGAAATTCGTTCAGATGTTTAAAATGATGATCAAGAAGCAGAAAATCAACCATGAATAAACGCAATATTATCTCAAATTTTAATCTGAATATTCAGTGCAAAACCCAAAATAATGAGTTTTATCATTCCATTTTAAATAGAATCATACCACAGGACCTGCCTTTTACTACAGAATAATTTAGCTAAGTAAGCCAAATTTATTCTCATAAAAAAAGTAACTAAAAATATAAATTTCATTTTGAAATAGGTTAGGTTAGGTTGATAGGAGGATGTACAACATCAAATCCGAAGAAATACACCTAAAGCTATTACATTCGCGCTCCTATTCAGGAAAAAAAAATTGTTCACTGAATGTATTATTTTTCCATGTTCAGAAACTCAGTTTCCTGGACGTAATTCCTAAGAATCTTCCAATCGGTGTTGGTTAAGAATGTTATTTCCGGAATAACATCACTTCCAAGATACTTGGATCTAACTTCGACGAATGCCTGACAATGGCAAAGAAAGTGCTCCAGAGTTTCACTGTGCTCTCCACATGCCCTACATTCGTCTGAATCCGCACGTCCAATTTTGTATAGATGTGCTCGTAATCCTGTGTGTCCACTCAGAATACATACCATCATACTAACCTCAGACTTGCTCATTTTGAGGAGATTTCTCGTCTTGCTCTCATCAGGGTCACCCCATAGAATCTTTGTGGTTCTACCCACCGTTTCATTATTCCAAGAGGCCTTATGGGATTCTCTCATCCATATTTCTAATTCAGCTTTTGTTGCGTCGAATGGTTTCGCGTTTGTCAGGTTAACTGCCTCCAGCTCCCTACCCTTTAAAGCTATTAGATTCGCCCTTTCGTTGCCGACTACTCCCGAGTGGCCTGGTACCCATATGATGTGAACCTTACCTCTGGGAGAGTATTCAGTTAAAGCTTTCTTACAATCCAATACGGTCTTAGATTTAATTCTATCACCTGATATCGCACAAATTGCCTTCTGGCTGTCGGTAAATATATTAAGCCCTGTGGGCGCCATATTTATTCTAATCCAATTTACACATTCCGTTATTGCTCGTACTTCTGCCTGAAAGCTTGTGTTATGATTACGTAAACGGTGGTATATTTCTGTTTCTGGGTCTTCAATATAGAACCCCAGGCCCACTTCGTCCCCTAATTTAGAGCCATCCGTGTAGCAACGGATTCCTACTGGTATTTGCTCTAATGTCCCGCTTGACCAAGACATTCTATCTGGGATTAGCGTTTCAAAGTTTCCGACATATTCAGTGTCTGGTATGCGATCAGGCACGTCCGATGTCGGTAAATATATTAAGCCCTGTGGGCGCCATATTTATTCTAATCCAATTTACACATTCCGTTATTGCTCGTACTTCTGCCTGAATGCTTGTGTTATGATTAGGTAAACGGTGGTATATTTCTGTTTCTGGGTCTTCAATATAGAACCCCAGGCCCACTTTGTCCCCTAATTTAGAGTCATCCGTGTAGCAACGGATTCCTACTGGTATTTGCTCTAATGTCCCACTTGACCAAGACATTCTATCTGGGATTAGCGTTTCAAAGTTTCCGACATATTCTGTGTCTGGTAAGCGATTAGGCACGTCCGATGAATGCGTATAACCTTCCAATGTGTCCAGTATACATTGATGACGTGTCCTATAACCGTTTTTGGCCAGTTCGCCTAAAGTAAAGAGCCGTTCGGCTGTAAGCGCCGCCTCATATCTTATATACATATGTTTCAATGGGTGGAATATCTAGCAACGTTTCCAGAGCCTAGGTTGAAGTAGTACACATGGCACCACTTATACCCAAGCAGCATGTACGCTGAACTCCCTATAATAGTTTGATTTTACACTTTTTTTCCAAAGCAGTCCACCAGATTATTGAAGCATAAGCTAGAATTGGTCTAATTACACTTTTATAAAGCCAATTTGTCATAGTAGGACTAAGACCCCATTTCATGCCTATGGTTCTCCTACATATCGCCCAGCACCGATGTGCCTTGTTGATCCTATCCTCTATGTGGTGTCTCCATTTTAATTTCCGGTCAAGTATTACACCTAAGTACTTAACTTTGTCTGTCACCAGTATCTTCTTGCCCAAGAAGCAAGGTTCAGTATATGTAGAAATTTTTGTCTTTCTTGTAAAAAGACAGATTTCCGTCTTCGCCGGGTTAACATTGAGGCCTCTCGGTTGAGCCCAGCTCAAGGCCGTATTCAGAGCCTCCTCAGCTCTTCTACACAAGTAATTTGGATCCTTTCCCTTTAAAAGTATTACGACATCGTCTGCATAGCAGACAGGTCTAAGTCCTTTCTCGGTTAGGGTCTTTAGGAGGCTATTAATCGTGGTAACCCAGAGTAAAGGTGACAAAATGCCACCCTGTGGTATACCGCGAAATACCTTTTTCCTGATAGTTATATCGTACATCTCGCAGCTTATCCATCTGTTCCTTAGCATGTGGTTGATCCAGTTACGGAGCACCCGGTCAACATAAAACTGGTCTAGGGATTGGATAAGGGTATCAGTGTGCGCG